TTTATAAGAGTAGATAGAAAAAAACTAGTAGAGATTTAGTAATGACATTTGAGTATCTAAACTTTAACATATTTGCATGTCCTTTACATCTTCACTCTTTTGGATATGTGTATCTCTGTGTAGATCTTTGGTATCCATTAATTTTGTGGTACACTATTTCGAATTTTGATAAGCACTTAGATTAGCATTAGTTTACAGATTTTAATGTTTAGTGAATATTCGAATCTCTTAAAATGAAAAAGTTGGATCGGTATGTTTAGGACGAGCTAGGACCACATATACATCATTAGTTATCCGTACCAGCTGTCGGATTGTTTATATTTAACATACAACCACGTGGGGGCATCTATCGCATAATAGCCACATATATATTTGGTCATAAAATTATTATATGAAGGCAAAATGATCATTTTTTTGGTAATTTTGAGATATGATATTCGATTAATTTGAAAGCCTATTATCTAGCAATAACCAGTTACATCAGATTAAAAATTGCACCTTGTGAATTTTGGACTATTTATGAATTGTCAACACGCCACGCCATTACTTTATTTCGGAATTCAAGTGTGTAAGCGAGATGCATGCAACGTAGTGTAATATTCGTGTGAGGTAATTTATGTATAACACAAATATTTTTCTTAAAAATGAATCGACTTAAAGAAATAGAGATCTGAAAGTTGGACTCAAGTTTTATTTTTAGGAAATCACTAGTATAGATCTAACTGAAAAATCCAATCATATTCTTTATAAAAAAAGAGAGTATTTATTTATCAAAAAATAAATTACAAATTAAAGACTTTAACGAAACCCATGTGATGGAGATTATTATTATTTTTATTTTTAAATGAACATGATGGAGATTGTTACAAAAACAAAATCTCATATGCATATGCATGCATGTACAACCAAAGTAGACTTGAAGGAAACTTGGTTCAGCGTTACGCATAGTCCAATTGTATATAATTTATTTTGTTTGATAAATGGTTCAATAATAATTGATTGAGACCTTTTCGTGAATCGTTGAACTACTTGATATATGCTATGACAACGAATATATAGATATAAATATTCTATAACAGGCTACAAGTTTCCATTGTGACTCTCTTTGTTTAAATAATTTGAGGCTTTTGTAATGTAATAATATATATTAAAAAATCAGTCCAGAAACAATTATATTTGTTTGAATCTATTATAATGAACTTCATCAGTTCTATTTCATTGTTAATAATAATAAACCATTATCTTGGATCCAACTGATCTTGTTGTGAATCTTCTGAATATCATTTTCTGTATTAGGGTCTACTAAATTTAATTATTGTTGCCGAAAAGGGTAAGGGCGGGATCACATGACACGACAGGGTTACCCAACATAGATAAATTACTTTATTGAATCAATTACGAATGAAGGACTTATTTTGATGGCTTTTATAGAATTTGCCATTTTATCAAAACAATTTGAAAATTGCCATTTTCTTGTAAACAAAAACACAAATTTACACATAATGCTTGGGTTTATTAAGTTCTAGTTTTTTGTAGGGTAGTTTTTGTTATAAAATATATGTTTTATAAAATTATTTTTCCAAATTTTTAGTTTTTAAAAATGGCAAAAATGGCAAATTTGAAAAAATGTTGAGAAAATGGCAATTTTGAAAAAATTGTTGAGCAAAAATGGCTTTTTAGATAATAATCCCTTACTTTATTAGTTAACTCGGTTAGTGTTTTTTTTTTATAAAACGTTCTTAATCTTTTTTGTAGGTAAACGCTCGTAAGGTCAAAGCAATTGAACGACAATAAATAATTGTCAAAACAAACTTTTCGCATACATAAAAACTTTTTTTCCAACCAATATCATTAACTTTTTTTTTTTTTGGATCAAATCCTATATCATTAACTAAATCGAAAACATGTCCGGTAAATTACTATATATATATATACACTATACAGATACAATAACAAGTTTGACGTTGAAGAAAAGCTCTTATACCATTTTAGATCTAACAACATTTTCATTGTTTTAGAAATTATGCTTCATTAAGTTGTAAATTAACAATGAATGTTGCTTAAATACAGACACCTAAACCAAGAATACAATTGTAAACTAGAGGATAAAGTAAACCGGACATTAAACCATGATATAATCTAATATAGAATTAAAGATAAGTAAATTAAAATGAAAAAAAAAACTACAAAAACAAGTCTACGCAAGAATTTTACAAGTTTGGATACTGAAAATAAAGATTCACTAATCTGAAAATTTTGTTTGAAAGTCAATTAATGCTAAACTAAAGCATTAAAACGTAAAATTGTAGCAAAATTATTTGGTCAGTAAAAATTTAAATTTGAGTTAATGTTCAATGATACTCTCAATCCTATTGGTATTGTATAAATTTTTTAAATGTAAGCTAAACCGGTAAGTTTTGACAGAATAATGTAAAACTGTAAAATAGAATGGTACATAAAAGCTGTAAAAGACTAAAAATAACGCTTTTAACATTGCTTTGTTATTGATAATTGTCAAAGCAATATATATATAGTTACCAATAAAAACCTCTATAAAACTAAATAAAAGTGATAGTTAATTAATTTTGAGGAAGTAAACATTTTCCTAATTAAAATAGCAGAAAATGGTGTACAATTATTGTTTTTGTTAGATAGGTGAAAAACAAATCACCTTCTCAAAATTTCAAAATCATTGTGAATGACTATTTTAGTTGTGTTGGTCCAATTAAAAAAAAACTGTTTCAGTTATTCAAGAACATGCCATTATATTTGAATAAATAAAATTAAATCGTATATTTCTTGGAAATCTATTATTACACATGCTTCAGAGAATCAGAGCATGAAAAATTGATGACACATAAAAATTTAAGAAGAAAATTTGTAAACATGTTGGGTATATAGATCGAGATGTGAATATATAAACTATAAAAAAGAGGGTATGGTATGGCTCCAAATTTAATACCTTGATTTTTCATTAGTCAACAATTCAGTGGTACCTTGAATCCTTGATTAAACTGCCTTATATTGTTTATATATTTTGTTATAAAAAAAGCTTATGTCTCTGACAGACTGAACAAGAATCACGATTGACAAAATCAGCTCGTCATATTTTCCGTTGATGAATTTCGTTGACCGTTACATATTGCATTACAGTACTCTTATATATAAATATATTTTCAACAATATACATGAATGAGATTTGAGTGGTTAGATAGAAACATTTAAAACGCTTTACAATTAAATTTTATTTAAACAAATAAAAGAATATTTTAAAAAGTTAAATTAATAGACTTATAAAAAAATTCCAACCACACGATTTACTAAATAATTGATTGTAAATTTATCTTTTAAAACGATTATTAACTGCGTCGTCTCAATCTGTAACCGGTATGTTTCAACCATTTATATCAACAACTTCTACTTAAAAATTGGTTTAGCATGCACATCTTGAAAACAAAGTGTTTTTCTTTCATGGTCTCTTATTATTCACCCAACCCAAATCACTACTTCTTCTAGGTAGCTTTTTATGCAACCTTGAAAACAAATGTTTCTACCAAAACTACTAAATCTGACCCCACTCGTGATGGTGCTTATCCCCACTGTTTATTGTGAAATTCATCCAGTGAAATAGCACTAAATTTATCTTCTTCTTTTTTTTTTTTTTTTTTTTTTTTCTTTTTTCGACATCACACTAAATTTATTATAGTACTAATAAATTTTCGGAAAATATTTAATTCCAAACGTTTTTCTTTCTGAATGTGGTTTTACTTTCCCATTAAATGCAGAGTACTGTTTAAGTGGGTAAAAATGATTTGTACTTTCAATCTGAACACTAGTTTTTTTTTTTTTATCATCTGATTTTTATTAAAACTTCAAGATAGAATACAAGGTGAAATACTTAAGCCGGTGGAAAACAAAGATATCCCCGGAGTCTAAGTGCATCTCCAACCCTACTCTATTTTAGAGTAAAAATGCAAAATTATTCTCCAACCCTACTCTATAATTGACTCTAAAATAGAGATTTCTGCAGATTGACTCTATATAAGTATATATAGAGCAACTCTATTCTCAACTCTATTTTTGAGTTCAACTTTTTTATTTATACTTTAGTCCCTCAAATTTAAACTTTTTTATTTAATACATATAATCATTTTATAAATAACAATTACAACACATAGCTTTATAAACTTAACAAGCAAACAAGTACTAAATTTAAAATAAACAACATAAGAAAACTAAAACATAAAACTAGTAATTTAATAGTCCGGTAAATTGCTTGTAGATCCGCCAAGATAGTTAAAATATTGTCCAAATGAAGTAGATGGAGGAGGAGTTTTTTTTTATCTTGATCATCTTGTTGTTGGACACATCGTTTTTGTAAAATCCGTGCTTGTTCACTCTCAAAATATGCCCGAACATTTGGGTTTTGAAAGGAATTCAAATCACATTTATTTTGTTTTCTTCCTTTAGCTCATTCAAAGCATAATATCCGGTTTCAAGAGTTTCTTGGTTAATTTAAAAAAATCAAAGATAAAGAAACTCATTTCTCACTACGAAATGCTTTAATTGATCATATGTAGGAAAAATATTCTAATGGTGTTATTTAAAATAAAATTTGTAATGTTTTATTATTGTTATATGATGTAATGTTTTTTTTTAATAAATAATTAGTGTTTAATTTAAATAATTTCATATTTTGTGGGAATTTTGCAAATCTATAATATATGGGGTCAAATTGTAAATTATATAACTAAAAGGCATTAGTATATAAAATAGAAATAAAATATTTCTAAGAATATTCTTTTTTAGAGTAGAAAATAGAGATATAGTTATTCTATTTTAGAGTAAGATATAGAGCTCTACATTGGAGATGGTCTAAAGCCCGAGGATACAATCTGAACACTAGTTAAATAATTTCTTCGATAACTCCAATAAAATTTAAACATGAATGGAGTACGAATTTTTACACTTTATATATATTTAATTAATTAAAAAAACTCTCCACGTTCATATCTGTCTAAAAATCAGAATCATATGTACTTTGTCTCTCTTTCTTTCTCTATATCAATTTGCCTTCTTCTTTACCCTCCTTCAGTTGCAGAGAAAGAGAAGACAAAACGCAGCTCTCTCTGCGTTTTCTTCCTTTTTCTTTTCTCAATTCCCCAGAGAAACCATAACTCTGTAAAAAGGAAACTCTTTTTTTTTTTTCTTCTGGTCAATTCAATAATCTTTGTTTATTTCACTATTATATTCGATGGTTCTGAATCGAACAGGACCCACAAATGGAACAGTGAGGATCTGTTTCTTATAAAGACATAATTTCCCAGTTCGTTGTGTTTATTTATCCTCCATAGAAATAATGTCGGGGTTTTTAGAATTCTCTCAAGTGTTCTTCTTTATTGATTTTTGTTTACTGTTGAAGTTTTGATTTTGGCATATTCTTTATTTGATACTTGTTTGATCGTTACATGTTCCTGATTATCTTTGGCTGGTTGTTAATAAACACGATCTTAGCTACTATTTCGACATCTTTTCTCAATTTTGGCAGTTAATGTAAGCTCTTACGACATTCCTCTTTGGGAAATTTTCTTTTTCTTGAAAAATCTTCCTTGTTTGTGAAATTTCCCCATTTTGAAGATTCCAAGCCAATTCAGGTTTTACTTGTGTAAAGATCTGGGCTTTGAGAGGAGGTTGGTTTTTATGTGTAAAGAATCAAAACTCGTATAAATGGCTGCAAGAGTAGAAGCAGCAACGATGGGTGGTGAGATTGGTGAAGAAGAGACTGATGAGAGAGGTAGCATGTGGGATTTGGACCAGAAGCTTGATCAATCCATGGATGAAGAAGCTGGTCGACTTAGAAACATGTACAGAGAAAAGGTTTCATTTTTATTAAAGATTCATTTCCATTTCTTGTTTCTGATCACTTTGTATTAGTTTGGATCAGAATTCATATATATAACTAATTTGGCTAAACATTTGCAGAAATTCTCGGCTCTTCTGCTTCTGCAGCTTTCGTTTCAGAGCCTCGGTGTTGTTTATGGAGATTTAGGGACATCTCCTCTCTATGTTTTCTACAATACATTTCCTCATGGGATCAATGATCCAGAAGATATCATTGGAGCTCTATCTCTCATTATTTATTCACTCACACTCATCCCTCTCCTCAAATATGTTTTCGTTGTATGTAAAGCAAACGATAATGGTCAAGGTATCATTAACCAATTCAGAAGCCTAGCATTTTGGTTGTTGATGGTGTTACTACTTGCTGACTTGATTGTTTTTTTTGTAGGTGGGACTTTTGCTCTGTATTCATTACTCTGTAGACATGCCAAAGTGAAAACAATTCAGAACCAACACCGTACTGATGAAGAGCTTACTACTTACAGCCGCACTACGTTCCATGAGCATTCCTTTGCTGCGAAGACCAAAAGATGGTTAGAAAAGCGGACATCTAGAAAAACCGCGCTTCTTATTTTAGTTCTTGTTGGTACGTGTATGGTTATCGGCGATGGTATCCTTACTCCCGCCATTTCTGGTATGCGGTTCGCTTCCCTTTCAAGTATATGATTTAGGCCTAATTAAGAGTAATGGAAATGTTCATTGTCAACATTTGCTTTTGCAGTTCTCTCAGCTGCTGGTGGGCTAAGAGTAAACCGTCCTCACATAAGCAATGGTATTACCATTTTTACATGCGTTGAAGTTCAATCCTGAAACATATGGTGTCTATAATAATCATAAGTTTGTGGTTGTTGTTGCAGGTGTTGTTGTTTTTGTCGCTGTTGTGATATTAGTCAGCTTGTTTAGTGTACAGCATTATGGAACAGACCGGGTTGGTTGGCTTTTTGCGCCCATTGTTTTTCTCTGGTTTCTCTCTATCGCAAGTATCGGTATCTACAATATCTGGAAACACGACACTAGTGTCTTGAAAGCTTTCTCCCCGGTTTATATATATCGGTATTTTAAAAGAGGAGGTCGGGATCGTTGGACCTCTCTTGGAGGTATTATGCTTAGTATAACAGGTAAAGAACCAAAAATCTAGTTGATTCTGCTCTTCAACTATTCTTATTTTCTTGATCTTGATAGTTCTTTTTTTTTCTTGCCATGCCTATCAAAATGGCAGGAATTGAAGCACTCTTCGCTGATCTATCGCATTTTCCGGTCTCAGCTGTGCAAATCGCGTTTACTGTAATCGTGTTTCCTTGCCTTCTTTTGGCTTATAGTGGACAAGCTGCCTACATTAGGATATATCCGGATCATGTGGCTGATGCGTTTTACCGTTCCATTCCAGGTTTCTTCTTCGATTAAGTACGTCTTTCGTATATAATCTGTGTAGAAAACGTTAAGATCTAAGTAAATATTTGTTCTTGCAGGAAGTGTATATTGGCCAATGTTCATTATTGCAACCGCTGCAGCTATTGTGGCGAGTCAAGCTACGATTTCGGCTACATTCTCCTTAGTCAAGCAAGCTTTAGCCCACGGTAGCTTTCCAAGAGTTAAAGTGGTGCATACTTCCCGGAAATTCCTCGGTCAGATTTACGTTCCTGACATAAATTGGATTCTAATGATCCTTTGCATTGCTGTCACCGCTGGATTCAAGAACCAGAGTCAGATAGGAAACGCTTATGGGACCGCAGTTGTGATAGTCATGCTCGTGACAACACTGCTTATGACGCTGATTATGATCCTAGTGTGGCGTTGCCATTGGGTTCTGGTTCTCATATTCACCATCCTCTCACTTGTCGTGGAATGCACCTATTTCTCAGCCATGCTTTTCAAAATCGACCAAGGTGGTTGGGTACCGCTCGTAATCGCTGCAGCTTTTCTCCTCATCATGTCGGTATGGCACTACGGAACTTTAAAGAGATACGAGTTTGAGATGCACAGTAGAGTCTCAATGGCTTGGATCCTCGGACTCGGTCCTAGCCTTGGGCTTGTTCGGGTTCCCGGGGTTGGCCTCGTTTACACCGAACTAGCCAGTGGAGTCCCTCACATTTTTTCTCATTTCATCACAAACCTACCAGCCATTCACTCAGTTGTGGTGTTCGTATGCGTCAAGAATCTCCCGGTTTACACCGTACCCGAGGAAGAGCGGTTCCTCGTTAAAAGGATTGGTCCAAAAAACTTCCACATGTTCCGTTGTGTCGCAAGGTAACCACCTGAACAGTGTTACGCGGGGTGATTACTGTGGGTGCCAGGTTTAACCGAAAACCTGATTGAACACTCTTGCATTAAGTAATAAACTGTTAAATATTTGGTCGTCCATTGTTAACAGGTACGGATACAGAGACTTGCACAAGAAAGATGATGACTTTGAGAAACGCCTCTTTGAGAGCCTCTTCTTGTATGTCCGCCTTGAATCGATGATGGAAGGAGGCTGTTCAGATTCCGATGACTACAGCATCTGCGGAAGCCAGCAACAGCTTAAAGACAAACTTGGGAACGGGAATGAGAACGAGAATCTGGCAACGTTTGATACATTTGACTCGATAGAGTCAATAACCCCAGTGAAACGGGTGAGCAACACGGTGACAGCGTCGAGCCAGATGAGCGGTGGAGTAGACGAGGTGGAGTTCATAAACGGGTGCAGGGACGCAGGAGTGGTACACATAATGGGGAACACGGTGGTTCGAGCCAGGAGGGAAGTGAGGTTCTACAAGAAGATAGCGATTGACTATGTGTATGCATTTCTTAGAAAGATTTGCAGAGAACATAGTGCTATCTACAATGTTCCTCAGGAGAGCCTTTTGAATGTTGGTCAGATTTTCTATGTATAAAAATATATATGTATATGCATGTGTTCGTTTATATTCTGTTTGTATGTAATGTCTGATGTTGTATGGTTATATCAAAATTTTGGTGCACATGCAGAAAAAGGTTGGGTTTGCCAAGTTATTAAACAATGGAAGGACTATTTTATCAGCTATTAAAACAAAATTCTTACATATACATTAGATTGATCTTTTTTATTGAAAGAAAGACTCCGGAGTACAGAAAAGAAGGACCAAGTCTTTGTACCAAAACCAATTTACTTACACTCAATTATAATGAAAATGGCTATACAATATGTGCTTTTAAAGTTTCTTGTACAAATCAACAACAATCCTTGAAACTGTAGCACTCAAATCCGAAAGAAGCAGCAAGGATATATTTTATACACAAACCTTTTTTTTTACGAAATACGTACCAGCAATGATAAATTAATAGATTTTACTTGTGGATTTGGTGGTTGACGGCGCGTGGTTTTGTGTGGACCGCAGAGGAGGACATGGTGCGGAGACGTCTGGCTATTTCCGGAAAGGCAGGTCGAACATATGGGTCAGGAGCCCAACACTGCTCCATCAGCATTCTCCACTCCGGGTCACAGTAGTTTGGCACGGTTGGTCTCAATGTATTGTTCACTATGCCTCCTACAAATTTTAGTCACACAAGTAACAAATGGTAAGAGATTCAGACTACCAAAACAGATAAGCTTGATTTTCATTTCTGCAAATCGTGAAGTCAGAACTGAATGTATATAGGGATGTTATGGTGGGTTAAGCTAGGCTTTAGAAAGTATGCCCACATATCCGTCTGCTATTCAAATTTGGGAAAATCAGGGACGAGCCTGTTTCAAATTTGGAAAATCAGAAATGATCCCATTTCAAAACCAGGGCCGGGTTCAAATTATGAAACCATTGCCAAGACAACCTAATTTTACACAACCTTTTTGGTAAGAAAAGAATCTGAGAGCGAATGAGAAAAGAGAGTAAATTACCGATTATTGCCCCATAATGCATATTGGCGTAGGGTTCCTCACCGGTAAGAATTTCCCACAAGACAATTCCGAAAGAGAACACATCAACCTGTGAAAATGAAGTATCCATTGCGACATTACTTGCAAAATCATGTAAAGGGCATTGAAACTAAATAAGTACAAAAACGGGTTATATTTGTTTTTCATCTACCACTGCCAACAACTAATTTGAGAGCATTGGAAGTCATTTACTTGCACAAGTATGTTATGGACTCATACCTTTTCAGAAACTTTGCTGCTGCTGCCACTAAGTAGCTCGGGAGCCATCCAAGGGAGGGTTCCCCTTACACCGCCAGTGACCAAAGTGTTTCTTTTTATCTTTGACAGACCAAAATCACCAACCTGCATAAAGCATCATCTCTTTGTTACATAAACAAAAGAAAATGAAAATGTTGCATCAACATGTTCTCAAACTGTCCTAGAAAGTCACCTTGCATATGGGACGGGCAGGATCCTTTAAGTTGACAAGCAAGTTATCACACTTCAAATCGAAATGCACTATGCTCTTTGAGTGCAAATATTCCATCCCAAAAGCTGCGTCCATTGCAATGATAAGTCGCTTACGTCGATCAAGGTGCCTGTAATTGCCAAATTTGAATTGGTATAAACTAGAGCTATCTTGAGGAAGCAATGATTCCGACGAGCTGTATTAAATAATTACCTGTTGCTGAGCAGAACATGCCTGAGCGATCCATTGACCATGTACTCTGTCACTGTAGCTAAAGTTCCTCCTGGTCCATCTTTCACTACGCCGTAAAATGCCATAACATTTGGATGATGAAGCTTTGAAAGAATTTCTGCTTCATGCCAGAACTCCGAGGTCTGAAATTTTCAAGCAGTGGTTGGTGAAACTGAAAACCAATTAAACTAATGCAACTTTCTCGAAAGTAAGAATCGTGTTTTTGCACTGAAGGAGAAATCAAGTAAGATTCTACAGGGAATGCCAACTTCTTGCTCGTAACAAGCATCTACCCTAAAGAAAAATGGTCAACTAAAAGCTCAATTGTGGGGTCAGATAGTAATAGTGTCTTCTAGCAGTATTATAGTTACCCTCAGAACTACGCAGTGGCCAATGTACTTATACAATCAGAAACCTTAAATCCTTCAGAGAGAAAGCTCACCAATCTCTCTTGTTCAGATGAACGACCAATGAAACAGCTTCTTTTTATACGCTTGATAGCAACATCTGTACCCCTCCATTTTCCGTGATAAACAGTTCCAAAGGTACCAGAACCTAATTCCTTCAGTTCTTCCAAGTCGTCATTTTTAATGACCTGAAACAGAAAAAAATGGATACAATCGCTTTATAATTTTCTCCATCGGTGAGAAAACCAGGAGCAAGATTGACAAAAGATTTCTAAAGTTCCACTGATTTCACCTGCCAATGGGGCTACATTATGCCTATTCTACAAAATTCCTTTAAACAAGAACAGACAAATACCAAAAACAGAAAGACAGCTAAAAGGTTGAATTGGAAAGTCATAACTTGGTTGACAGAATATAAAAGTCCTTCTGGTACTTTTTTGTCTGTACTGCTTAAGAGTACTTAGGGTTTTAAAATCACTAGAACAATTATTCAGGCTCTATGTTGTGATGCTGTCCAGTTCACTAATGGTGGTGGCTCAATTGTTGCATGTATCTGGTTAAAAAAGAGAGGGCAAATGCAACAGCTTGTAAACATGTTAAGTCATATGCTGACAAATGCATACCTGCAGAGACCTCATGCCACTATCCGCAGCCATAAAGTCAATAAGAGGAACTCCAGCATTCTACATATCCAAATTTATAGAAATTAGTAAAATATCAGTTGAGACATTGCCAGTGGTGAAATTATTAGATTTTCCATATTGAGGTTGAATACAATAAGCTTACCAGAGTTGCATCCGTGCTTTCAGCACCTTTGATTTGTGACTGACTGTAATCTTCTTGTGTGTCTACTGTGTTCAAATCAGGTATGGTAATGGTAGACACATCTGGCTGGATATTTCCATCAAAGTGGATTTGTGGATTTATCTGACTTGAGGCAACTTTCTCAGACTGCAACGGTGGGTAGCTATAATCAATAGGAACTCCGTTGGTGTTAGTCATGGAAGTGGGAAATCCAGGGTGGTCCTGATCCATAAGGGATAGATCCTTTCTCTCAAACTCATCCTGCGCCAAATTTCGAAAATACGACCAAGTTTTAGGGTCATTATTCTGAATATTCAAACTCACACCAGCTCCATCGGCATGCAATGGCCCTAATCCAGGGAAGTTCATAGACTCTTTCGTTTTCAATATATCAGCAAGAAACTCACGAGGAAACCTATCATTTATATCAACAACTATATCCCCCTTCTCATTGTGTCCTTGTGGAACAGCCTTTGCTGAAGTCTCTGTCTGACTTACATGCTCCGGGGTGTTAGTTTCCAAGTTTCTTTTTTCCGACTGTGACATACTACCCTCGGCTGTCCAGATGCTTTCAGGAGCTGGTCTTACTGGTGCAGTAGAATGAACATTCTGGGACTCCATATTTGCTTCAGTTTCAGATGATTCACTGATAGGCAGGAAAGCATCTGATGTTGTTTGAGCCATTACAAATTGAGAAGCAAGGGAATCATCAGATTTAGACAAACGGTTAGTTTCTGTTGGATCTCGTAGAGTGCGCTCAGAATGAAAAACTCTTTGATGAATCATAGGCTGGTCGACATTGCTCACACTAGATGAAGTACCATCTGAAGTACCATGTCCAGATGCTGAGAATCCTCCAAGCAGACAAAATTGATTTTCCTGATTCTTTTTCATGCTTTCACTTGTTGCCTCTAAGGCACCCGTTTTCTCCTGGGATGTTCTAAGACTTTTTTCTGGATAAACAAAGGATTTTGGATCTGGTGTTGAATTGGATATTTTCATGGAATTAGGAGCTTCTTCCTTGAGGGCATTATCTGAGACCATAGAATCACTAGATACAGAGCAAACGGAATATTCATTGACCCTTGTGGTGGAGTGTTCTTTTCTCATCTTTGGCTCCTTTGCTGACAGATTGTTCTCAACAGGGTCCTGGGATTTTCTAAGACTTTTCTCTGAAAGAGCTGAAGATTTTGGATCTGGTGTTGAACTGGATGTTTGTGTGGCAATTGGAGCTTCTTCCTTCGGGAGGTGATCTGGGACTATTAAATCACTAGGCATAGAAGAAACAGAATACTCATTGACCCTTGGGGTTGAGGATTCTCTCCTCATCTTTGGCTCCTTTGCTGAAAGATTGCTCTCGACAGTAGATACATTAGCAGGATCATTTACCTTCTGAAATGAGTCATCTCTTCTCATTTTGGCCTCTTTTGATGAAGCTTCTGGATCTTGCACATGAAAGATCTGCTCCTCACGCAAAACTCCTTGCTCAGTTTTTTTTGGATAGTGGGGCACTTGGCTTTCAAGAGGTGTTTCAGGATTCACAGGATAAGGGATATAATGAGGTTGTGGTTGAACATGTAAAGGAGCAGACATCTTCTCATATATATAGCCTATGCTTGCCATGTGACCTGATGTGTAAATTTGGTGGTTACCAAGTCCGGGGAACTGCAATTGCTGTCCTAGATAAGGCTGTGAAAATGGCTCATTTCCAGTAGAAAAACCTGTTACAGGTTGAGAAGATTGGCTCGCTGGTAAAGATTCATTACCTGCTAAGGGAGCAACCGAAGCCACTGCTGGTTCTGTGACAGCCCGATTGATCTTCTTATCAAAATTCCCATGAAGTAGTTCATCCAAATTGTTCCCGGGAGCACTTGTTCCAATGGAACTTTTTCGTGAACTTAGATCCATCCCATTGACAGCAACAACATACTGAACCTCAGAATCACCCTCTGCATGTTCCATAACAAACTGAGCCTCCTCTATATCACTGCTTGAAAACAAGAACACCCTGGGCTTCTCAGATCCTCCATTACCAAACACAGTACATTCTTCCATCATGTTTTGTAAATCCTCGTCAGAAGATACAGAGACTAGGGCGTCAAGATCCTCTCCTGGCAGCTGATATTTTATGGTGCGTGCTTCAGGAAATATTTCTTTCATTTTATGCATGAGTTCTTGGAAAGAAATAGTCTTGCTAATCCGTATGATACGCGTTTCACCACCTACATATCTAAGT